CAAGTTAGTGCTGTTTTAACCTTCGCAAGGACCGGGCGTAGCCACACTCGATTCAGCAAAAGTGAGAGAGACAGACACCCACCAGCCACCTTTAAGCATGAGTGCTCGTAACGGTGAAACCAGTCTCGCGTAAGTGTACGCGTAATGTCGGTCCGGGCCGCTTCATCTCACAATACCGCCGAACCAAAGTATGACATGCTGGTAAGCAGTATGACTTATATCGCCCACAACTCACTTATGTTCTACTCGTGCATATGACATCTACGCATAAAACCAGGCTCTGATACCACTGTTGGGGAACGTAGTAATTTCAAAATTTCCTACGTACACGCAAGATCATGGTGATGACATAGCAACGAGAGGGGAGAGTGTTGTCCACGTACCCTCGTAGACCGTAAGCGGAAGCGTTAGGACAACGCGGTTGATGTAGTCGTACGTCTTCACGATTCGACCGATCCAAGCACCGAACGTACGACACCTTCGAGTTCAGCACACGTTCAGCTCGATGACGATCCCCGGGCTCCGATCCAGCAAAGCTTCGGGGATGAGTTCCGTCAGCACGACGGCGTGGTGACGATGATGATGTTCTACTGGCGCAGGGCTTCGCCTAAACTCCGCGACGATATGACCGAGGTGGAATATGGTGGAGGGGGGCACCGCACACGGCTAAGGAACGATCCGTAGATCAACTTGTGTGTTCTGGGGTGCCCCCCTGCCCCGTATATAAAGGAGCAAGGGGGGAGGCCGGCCGGCCCTTGTGGGCGCGCCAAGGAGGAGGAGTCCTCCTCCTAGTAGGAGTAGGACTCCCCCTTTCCTACTCCTACTAGGAGGGGAAAGGAAGGGGAGAGGGGGGAGGAAAGAGGGGGGGCGCCGCCCCCCCTCCTAGTCCAATTCGGACCAGAGGGAGAGGGGGCGCGCGGCCCACCCTGGCCGCCCCTCTCTCTTTCCACCAAGGCCCATGTGGCCCATTATCTCTCCCCGGGGGGTTCCGGTAACCCTCCAGCACTCCGGTTTTATCCGAAAACGTCCGGAACACTTCCGGTGTCCGAATATAGTCGTCCAATATATCAATCTTTATGTCTCGACCATTTCGAGACTCCTCATCATGTCCGTGATCACATCCGGGACTCCGAACAAACTTCGGTACATCAAAACTTATAAACTCATAATAAAACTGCCATCGTAACGTTAAGCGTGCGGACCCTACGGGTTCGAGAACTATGTAGACATGACCTAGAACTATTCTCGGTCAATAACCAATAGCGGAACCTGAATGCCCATATTGGTTCCTACATATTCTACGAAGATCTTTATCGGTCAAACCGCATAACAACATACGTTGTTCCCTTTGTCATCGGTATGTTACTTGCTAGAGATTCGATCGTCGGTATCTCAATACCTAGTTCAATCTTGTTACTGGCAAGTCTCTTTACTCGTTACGTAATGCATTATTCCGTAACTAACTCATTAGCTATATTGCTTGCAAGGCTTATAGTGATGTGCATTACCGAGAGGGCCCAGAGATACCTCTCCGACAATCGGAGTGACAAAACCTAATCTCGAAATATGCCAACCCAACATGTACCTTTGGAGACACCTGTAGTACTCCTTTATAATCACCCAGTTATGTTGGGACGTTTGGTAGCACCCAAAGTGTTCCTCCGGTAAATGGGAGTTTCATAATCTCATAGTTATAGGAACATGTATAAGTCATGAAGAAAGCAATAGCAACATACTAAACGATCAAGTGCTAAGCTAACGGAATGGGTCAAGTCAATCACATCATTCTCCTAATGATGTGATCCCATTAATCAAATGACAACTCATGTCTATGGCTAGGAAACTTAACCATCTTTGATTCAACGAGCTAGTCAAGTAGAGGCATACTAGTGACACTATGTTTGTCTATGTATTCACACATGTATTATGTTTCCGGTTAATACAATTCTAGCATGAATAATAAACATTTATCATGATATAAGAAAATAAATAATAACTTTATTATTGCCTCTAGGGCATATTTCCTTCAATGCTATGTGTAGTTCTGAAACATTGATTGGCTCATGTTGTAATTAAACTTTAATGAACTTGTATGTTTCTTTGGTTTGGACAGTCGTTCAACTTAGATGTAATTGATGCTATTTATTAGTAGGACCATGAATCGTGCTATTAATGTCTTGCTTTTCTCTTCCAATCCTTTTGTTGCATACTTATATATTGCTTATGTATTGTTTGTTGTTTGGCTTGTGCATAGAGATGCCGTCGTATGTCGTGTACAAGGGTAAGGTTCTCGGAGTCTACGATGACTGGGAGGAGTGTCGGAGATAGGTTCACCGTTTCAGCGGTAACAGTTACAAAGGGTACACCACTAGGGCGGAGGCGGAATCTAGATACGCCTGCTATCCAGCGGGAGAGAGGAGGGAGCGTTGGAGGAACTGGATGAAGACCAGTTTCATCGCGATAATGCTCATCGTGATGACCGCAGCTCTCTTCTATGTGATGGTAGTTTAGATAATCGATATCGACTTATAATGTGAAGACAAACTCGCTACTCGCGGTCTCGAGACTTGTAATGTTCTATCTTTGTTCGGTCTTTTGAATTCGGAGACTAAGATGATGAATTGTATTCGGAGACTAATCTTCTATTGTATTCGATAAATCTGCTATTGTTGTTTGGTGTTGTCTAAATTCTGTCCAATAATATATTTTGTAACCTGTGAAAATATCAGAAAAGAAAAAAAATAATCCCTAATATTCATACTAGTGGCGCACCACACAAGACACTAATGGCGCACTGTGATAATCACACTAATGGCGCATCAACCACTGATGCGCCATTAGTATGCCAAAGCACATGGGTACATATGGCCCCCTGGGAGGATTTTTAATGGCGCACTGTGGGCAATACTAATGGCGCACTACGTGGTGCGCCAGCACCAGTGGTGCGCCATTAGAGTTTAATTCTAATGACGTGATGCTAGTGGCGCACCAGTAATGCGCCATTAGTAGGCAAAACGGGTGCACCACTAGCATGCCTTTTCCCTAGTAGTGGGAGCAGGGCAAAAGCAAGGCGACGAGGGCTAGGTGAGATCCCGCGGGGCGCGAGCGTCTCCGGCGGTGGCTCCGCGAGACAGCGGGCGTCGTGCTCGTGTGGATGGTGCTCCATGTCCACGGCGGCTACAAGCTGAGAGGATGGGGAATTGGGGGATGCGTGTGCCTGTTCGTGCGTGAGACGAGAGGACGGTGATGCTGTGACTATTCGTGGGTTGGGCTTAGACGACATATAGGTAAAATATTTTTTGGTAAATTCCTAGGCGGGCCATGGCCCGGTTTGGCCCCTACAGAGCTCCGTCCCTACTTGGGAGTCAAGTAAACTTCTCTATATAAAAAGAGGAGATGTATCAATCTAATCAAGTAAGAATTAAGAAGGAAATCTCTTTCCTCTTGCCCGGTCGTGGGCAGAAAGGCCCCCGGCCGGCCCTCTCACGCCCTTCTTCTAGCAACGCCATAACAAGTACCTATCTGGTCATGTTTTCTGGGAAGCTTCTGAACTCACGTTTGATATCCGCTCTTTGCAAAATGGATCTCTCTTGCTAGGCGAGCCCAGCAAGCATCTCTTCTTGGAGTTTCGTTTTTGGTTTTTGCTTCTTCTTCATCTTGCTTTTCTTTCTCTGTATTTATATTTTTTTAATTCTGTAAATTTATATGCATGTGTGTTTCTTTTCTTTTTCTTTTTAATAGTTACTTTATTCCACCTTTTTTCAATTCTTTTTAAGGAATTTTCTTCTTCTTTTTGTCCCATCGACAGGTGAAAATCCTATTGCCACTCATTGTGTGGAATAAGCATGGTCAACATAATTTTGTATTGTCATGGTGGCCGACCCATTTTAGCTAGGATGTTTTTTTTTATTTTTTATTTTTGGTTTCTTTTCCTCTTCTTTTTTATGGTTTCATAAATTAATTTATTGGGGTATCCCTTTTTGTTTCATTTTTCATTAATTACTTCACTGTTATTTTATTTTCCGGTCGCTAAAATTTGTCTTTATATTTTTCTGCATCATTTTCTATCTTTATGAATTAAGCATGTATACATATATTTATCTAATGCATAGAATTTTTTTCCTACTAATGAATATGTTTTGGCATTTTTAAAAATAGTGATATCTTTGGATAGTGGATATATTTAATTATTTTATCATATTGTACATTTATATCCATCAAAACAATTTTTTAGCAGAGTTTTATTTGTCCATGTGTATCTGACAAAATATGCACATCACGTTTGTAAATTGTTTCTAATAGTAAAAGAATTTATACGAAATTTAATATGCACCAACGTTGCATTCCATGAACCTTTATGTTCCTTCAAAACAAATTTAAATTATTCATAGATTTCATGGGGCCAAACATCAATAAGATATATAGTAGCCCGGATGACCTTTGAATCCGAACCACGTGACGTACGTGGTAAGCAATCCAAACTATTCGGAAAAAAGGCCTTTGAACTCGAACAAAAACATCTGAAAAGAAACTCTGTAGCTTTATGTTAAGTTGAAGACGGCCACGTCCATTTCAAACGTTGAATCGGATGGGAAACAAATCCCCCGCAAAAAAAAAAAAACAGAAGAATGGGAAATACAGGTTGGCTGGGCCTGGCTTGACTTGACTTGGTCACCCGCTCCCGTCCACACCGCACTCCCTCAAAAAACAAAAAGAAAAAAAGAACTCCACCCGCACAGCGGCGAGAGCGGCGAGCTGCTCACCGGCGCGGCGCGGCGCGGACGGCCAATCGACCCCGCTCCCGGCGCGATCTCTCCGGTACCCACCTCTTCCTTCTCACCTCATTGTCCGGCGCACTCTCTTGCTCGCTCACCGGAGTTCTCTTCCCTGCTCCCGCCATGTCCGCTAGCTATGCACGCCAGATGTTCGACGTATTGCTTGCCACGTCTGGGACTGGTTGCGATGTACGATAACATGATGTTTTCTTCATTGTAGGACTGATGGAAGCAGACAAGAAACCGCGCTTGCCCCGGTCACCGTGGTCAGACCTCCCGCTGGACATAGGAGGCCTGGTGTTCAGCCGGCTCCCCCAGTACGCTGACCGCACCGCCTTTGCTCTGGTGTGCCCGCAGTGGCGTGACGCCGCGAGGCAGCAGGCCCTGACCCTGCCACTGCCGGTGCTCGCACTCCCAGACGGCACCTTCTACAGCATCTTCTACCCTAAGCTCTATTCCTTCCCTGGCTGCGGCTTCGCGGGGTACGAGAGTGTCTGTGGCAGCTGGCTCGTCTTCCCACGTGACGACGGCTGCTTCCTGGTCAATCCCTTCTCCAGGGCCAGCTTCATGCTCCCTGCTCTCTCCAGTGTCCGACTCCGGCCTCCAAATGCAGTCGCTAAGTGGTCACTCGAGGATGGGTCACAAGTTGCTGACCCTTACATCACATGGATGCATATCAATACATCGGAAAAGCTGCACATAAGTAAGCTACTCCTGTGCTCGCCAAACCTTGTTGCTGCACTGGTTGGCACTGGACACACCAGCCAGATTCTAATGTGCCAGCCAGGGGCCTCGTCGTGGTCAGTACGTGCTTACGATCAGTGTAAGGGGTTCGAAGACATGGCATTCTACCAGGGCAAGCTCTACGCCATTGCCAATGACGAGAACCTCCTTGTGGTGAACATCAGCCAGGACCATAGCACCGGCGATCCACAGGTTTCTCGGATTAGACAAATCATCAAGGGTGAGCCATGGTATCCAGCTGTGTCTGAGGACAACACTATGTGCTGCAAGAAGCTTTACCTGGTTGAATCGCATGGGGTGTTGCTGATGGCACGAAGGGCGATCTTGTGCCGGGTACCTGGACCTGGAGCAGTGCCCAGTGAAGTAGTTCCTGGAATGAGCGGGTTTGAGGTTTTCAAGGCCGACCTTGAGCATTCACAGTGGGTCAAGGTGTCGACCGTGGGGGATGACCAACTGCTGTTTCTAGGGCGAAGGTGCTCCAGGGCCATGTCTGTGTCTCAGTACGGGTTGCCCGGTGATTATATCCTCTTCTTGGATGATGATGAGGAGAATCGTATGGACTACTGCTACGAAAGGGAGAACACTTCTTTCGGTGCCTATAAAATGGGATCCGACGGTGTCCTTTTCCCTCATCCCTATATTTCCTGGAAGCTTTGCGATGAGATGCGTCTGGCTGCATGGCTCTTCCCTCGGGACCGATGAGAATGAGTCATAGTGCTATATATATGCAAGCTGCTCCCAGGTTATCTGGCCATGCTATAAATGTTGTTGTTCCGGGGTTATTTTGCAACCTGCTCATAGGTTATCTATCTGACGGTGGTATATATATATATATATGGTGGTTGGTATAGTGTTCACTGGTTTACCTACAAGACGTGAAATGCGTTCGTAGTATTGCTGCTATCTATCTGAACTTTGTTACCCTGTTTAGTGTTGTTTGTTAATCAGCACTTGTCTGAAGTTATTATGGTGGTTACTACTATGGTGGTGGTTTTTGATTAGTAACGTGGCCTATGAAAGATCTTAAAATGCACCATTGCTTATCTGAATCTTTGTCACTGTGGTCTCTCTCTTTTTCTTTCTTTCCTTTTTTTTGTCATGAATTGGCATGGTGGTCTTTTTTTGGCTGAAATTGCTACCTTGTAATGCATCCTGTGCTGCTTGTGAGCTACGTTTGATTTGATTTGAGATTCAACTAGTCAGTGCTCTGGAAATATTTTATCTGTGCAATTGCAGTAAATTTATTGCTCCCTTCACCGAGTGATGGTGAGAAAATAATATTACAGAGAGATACTGTTACCGCAGTAGACGGATTCCATAACCCTGCAAAATATATTAAACTTGGAGCATGATCTGTTTAGCTAAGTGATTTCCAGTACCTATCTGGTCATGTTTGCTGGGAAGCTTCTGAACTCATGTTTGATATCCGCTCTTTGCAAGATGGATCCCTCTTGCTAGGCGAGCCCAGCAAGCATCTCTTTCTTGGGAGTTCCGTTTTGGGGTTTTGCTTCTTCTTTGGCTTGGTTTTCTTTCTCTGTATTTACATTTTGTTTTAATTCTGTAAATTTATATCCATTTGTGTTTCTTTTCAGTAGTTACTTTATTTCTACCTTTTTTTCTTGTTCTTCTATGAGGAACTATTTTTTCTTCTTTTTATCTCGTCGCATGGTGAAAATCCTATTGACTCACACTCGTGGTGTGGAATAAGCATGGTCAACATAATTTTGTATTGCCATGGGCCCGACCCATTTTAGCTAGGGTGGGACTTTGTTTTTTGTTTCTTATTTTTGGAATTTATTTTCTTCTTTTACGGATTTCATAAATGGTAATGCTAACTGGCGGATGTTCGGTGAGAAGGAACTCTCAGGGAATGCACTCGCAACCACTCGATCGGGGATCAAACGATGTCAGGTTTTGGAAAATATTGCCTTCTCTAGGAAGGAATTTTCGTGCTTGTCTGAACATATTGCCATCCCCTACAACTAAAATTGTCATAGAAATGGTTCGCAAATGTCATCTTCCCTAGCGAACGTTCCCCGGCTAATAGGGTCCTTTCATAAATTAATTTATTTGGTTTTCCCTTTTGTTTGTTTTTTCTTTAGTTCATTTACCGTTTTTTATTTTTCGGTCGCTAAATTTGTTTTTTATATTTTTCTGCATCATTTTCTATTTTTAATGAATTAGACATGTATACATATATTTATTTTATGCATAGAATATTTTTCCTACTAATGAACATATCTTTAGAAAGTTCTAAAAATAGTTATATCTATGGACAGTGGAATATATTTAATTATTTCATAATACTGTACATATTATATCAATTGAAATAATGCTTTTACACAGAGTTTTATTTGTCCATGCTTGTCTGGAAAAAATATTCACATCACACTTGTAAATTGTCTCGAATACTAAAAACTTTTTATACAAAATTTTAGTATTGCACCATCTTTGCATTCCATGAACCTGTTTTTTTTTAAGTCTCGAGCTTACAGAAGTAATACAATCGACATTGGAACTCGAAGAAAAACATCTGAAAACGAAGTCTCTTTTTATTTTAAGTTGATGAAGACGGCCACGAATGGGAAATAAACAAGAGCTATATTTTCCTATATTTTGTCTTTTTTAGGGGTACTACATTTTGGCTGAGCGCTTGGCTGGGCCTGGGCTGCACTCACTTGGTCACCCGGCCCCGTTCGGGCTCCACACTACACTTCTACCGTAACCCCCCTAAAAAAAACTCCAGTCGCACAGCAGCCAGAGCGGCGGCCGGCGGGGTACCCACCGGCGCGGCGCGGACGGCCAATCGACCATTCGACCCCCGCTGCCGGCGCGATCTCTCCGGTACCCACCTCTTCCTTCTCCCCTCATATTCCGGCGTACTCTTCTGCTCGCTCACCGGAGCTTTCTTTACTGCTCCCGCCGTGTCCGCTGGCTATGCACGACAGGTGTTGGACGCATTGCTCGGCGCGTTTGGGGTGGTTGCGATGTTCGAAGTACGGTAGCATTCGATGATGTTGTTGCTTCTTTGCAGGAATGATGGCAGCAGACAAGAAACCACACCCGCAGCCACAGTCGTCGTGGTCAGACCTCCCGCTGGACATAGTAGGCCTTGTTCTCAGCCTGCTCCACGAGTACGCCCACCGTGCCGTCTTTGCTGCGGTGTGCCCGCACTGGCGTGCGGCCGCGAGGCAGCAGCTCGTGCCCCCGCCACTGCCTCTTCTCGCGCTCCCAGACGGCACCTTCTACAGCATCTTGTACCCTAGGCTCTATTCCTTCCCTGGTTGCGGCTTCGCAGGGTACGAGAGTGTCTGTGGCAGCTGGCTCGTCTTCCCACGTGACGACGGGTGCTTCCTGGTCAATCCATTCTCCAGGGCCACCGTCACGCTCCCTGCTCTCTCCTGCGTCCGACTCTGTTGGTCCATTTTTGTTTTTTTTTTTCCTTTCCTTTTTGCTCTCATATGTATTCTTTCTTAATTATTATTAAAAAATTGTATAAAACCTACCAAGTCCGGCCAATGCGAGTGTGTCCTTGCGGGTCTCGTTTACCCGATATTGTGGGTTTATGCGCTTCTGACACCATCTAAAATCCCATCAATTCCGCGCTTGTATCTGATCGTTTGATATTGTTCTACTACTTCCGTCCCGGTTTATTGGTCCTCTTCCTGTTTTGTGCAAAAATTTGACCATAGATGTAGCTGACAAAATGTTCATGCATGTCATAAAATATTATAACCTTGGATTCGTATGAACATAGTTTCCAATAATACTATTTTTTGTGACATGCATTAACATTTTATTAATTGAATCCATGGTTAAAATTTGACACAAAATACTAAGAGGACCAATAAACCAGGACGGAGTTAGTACTTACTTATTCATATCACATAGTACTCCCTCCGTTCATAAATATAAGAGCGTTGAGATCACTAAAGTAGTGATCTAAACGCTCTTATATTTCTTTACAGAGGAAGTACTTTTTAAAAAACTAGCAAGATGCATTTGTATGGGTAATTTATCTTGTGAGAGAAAATGATGAACGAGGGAAGACCTTATTTGCAAACGTGGAGAGGGGTGCGGTAACTTTTTGCAAAATTGTTATAATTTTATTCCTATACATCAGATATAAATATGACGGCCTATATTGCAGGATGGCAGACACACCATCATCACCAACTCTGTTTTTTATATAGTAGACAATTATGTTTGTTTATCAAAAGCACTTTTTTTGTGAGGAAAAGCATGTTCGAAGATTTCTCAATTTTTTACATATATAAATAAAATCCCATGTGGCATTTTGTCTTTAAAAAATGTTTGATTTTATTCTTTACACACTTGTTCAGATTATTACTTCCTCACTCTAAATAGTTTTTTTCTTCTCCAAGTTGCACTGCTTCTTCGAGGTATTGGGCCATGTTTGGATGTTTTGGATCAGCGAGAGCAGGCCCATAAAGCTTGGCTCAGTAGCACTCATTGGTTACTGGTCCCGTTCGGGCAAGCCACTGCACTGCCCACGCTCCACTCTCGCACGACAGCAGCAGCAGCGGCGGCGGACTACTCACCGGCAGCGGCGCGCCGCGGACGGCAAATCGACACACACTCCCGGCGCGGCCTCTCTGGTACCCTCCTCTTCCTTCTCCCCTCACCTTCACCGTCCCCTTTTGCTCGCTCAGGGGGAATGGGGGATCCGTCCCTGCTCCCGCCATGTCCGCTGGCTATGCACGCCAGGTGCTCGACGCATTACTTGATGCGTTTGGGGTGGTTGTTGATGATGATGTTGCTTCTCTTCTGCAGGACTGATGGAAGAAGAGAAGAAACCACACTTGCAGCCACCGCCGTCGTGGTCAGCCCTCCCGCTGGACCTAGCAGGCCTGGTGCTCAGCCTGCTCCCCGAGTACGCCGACCGTGCCCGCTTCGCCGCGGTGTGCCCCCAGTGGCGTGCGGCCGCGAGGCAGCAGCCCCAGACCCCGCCACTGCCGCTGCTCACGCTCCCGGACGGCACCTTCTACAGCCTCCTCTCCGGCAAACCCTTCCGCTTCCCTGGCTGCGGCTTCGCTGGGTACGAGAACGTCTGTGGCCGCTGGCTCGTCTTCTCGCGTGATGACGGGTGCTTCCTGGTCAATCCATTCTCTGGGGCCACCGTGACGCTCCCTGCTCTCTCCAACGTCCGACTCCGGCCTCCAAATGCAGTCGCTAAATGGTCAGGCCACGAAAGTGCAAAGATTGCCGACCCTTACATCACATGGATGCATATCAATACATCAGAACAGCTGCACATAAGTAAGCACGGATACGGGGACGGAAGCACGGGGATACGCATACGGGGATACGGGATACGGCATTTTCCAAAAACAGCCATTCGGGGATACGGCGGGGTATATAAGTATTTAGAAAAATAAATATGAAAGTATATAGAAAAATAAATTTGAATTAAGATCTAATGAGAATTTTTTAGTACTGGATATATATTGTCTCCTTTCTATTCATGAAAGACTGAGAGCAGTCCACTCACAGCCCATGTAGCTGTCCGTCCACTTAGAGCCCATGTAGCTGTCCATCCACTTAGAGCCCATGTAAGGCCCAATTCCAGAAAACCCTAGACTAGTAGCACTCCAGCTGCTCCAGCCGACCCCAACCTCCCATTCTCGTACTCCCTTTCTCCAGCCGCCAGTGAAGAAAGGAAACGACAGCGCCGCCAAATC